AGAAAGAAAGAAAGAAAGAAAGAAAGAAAGAAAGAAAGAAAGAAAGAAAGAAAGAAAGAAAGAAAGAAAGGAGAAAAAAAGAAAAAAAAAGAGAAAAAAAGAGAAAAAAAGAGAAAGAAAGAGAAAGAAAGAGAAAGAAAGAAAGAAAGGTGCCAAAAAAGTTACACTAACAAATCCCCAAGGGAATAACTTTAAAATCCTGCAGTCTTACAAACAGTTAATTTCTGACCCCAAAAACTTATGTCTCAAAGTCAGGGCACCTTTCAGGCCCAGTTTGACAAATGTCACCAGCTTTCATGTTTATTCCAAATCACATCTATATTACTGCAAGGGATTGTTCAAATTCTCTGATTAGTATTGAGGCTGGAGACTAAAATGATTTTCAAATGGATGTTTTGCATGAGGCATCTAATGTAAACCCAGAAAAAGTATGGGCAAGCTGGTTCCTACTGTAGCCAGCTTTGCTTAGATATTGCATGACAGGCATTATAGAGGATTTCCTGATCAGTTCAGAAAACAAGGGCATGAGAGATGAGAGAAAGAAAGCAGAACTATTCTTTCTGTACTAAAGTGAGGGAGAACACAGCCAACCTCTCCCTGATACACAGAGACACAGGGCACCATGAGCACCATGCCCCTCACTCGTATGATCCCAGGACTGTGGAAGATAAGGATGCGACAGATGTTCAAACCAGCCTGTACCAATGCAAACTCCCAGGACAGTGGTTCCTGCTGTTGTATGATAATGCTTCTAATATTCTGCATTTCAGAGCTTTCCATACTGAAACACGGCGCTTTGCGCCCACTCTCTCCTAGGTGCAAACCACCACCATGTGCATCTCTGTGAGTCTGAGCGGCTTTGTTGTGCTGGGCTGCTTGTTCGCGCCCAAGGTGCACATCATCCTCTTCCAGCCCCAGAAGAACGTGGTCACTCACAGACTCCATCTCAACAGGTTCAGTGTCAGTGGGACCGGGACCACTTACTCCCAGTGTAAGTAACAAAACTGCCATGTTTTTATAAGGATGTGGGGTTGTGGTGAGTTTGGGTAAAGACAAAAAAGGTTTTTTACCAGCAACAAAAAGCGCTTTATAGTCTGGGCTTTGTACCCAGTGGAAGCATCACTTCATCTGTATTTGGAGAGAAAAACTCATCCCCCTCCCATGGGAATCAGCACAGAGCCTGCTCTGAAGCTCACTGAAGTCAGCAGAAAGCTTTCAGCGGGCTCTGACTCCAGCCTGCTGCACAAAGCAACTAAAACCTGTCGCTCGCTGTCACTCTCGCAGCAACGACAGGAACAGATTGCCCTGGAGTATTCCTGTCAAAATGACACACCGACAGGACCTGGGCCAAACTGCAGCATGCTCTCAACGGCTCTTATCGCATGCATTATAAGGAAAGGCTCCAAGTCTGCAGCAAACACATACAAGGGATGCCATAAACTGTGTCTGTATGCAGAGTGTGAGCAGTGCCCTTTGTAAGTGCCACAGACAGGAGAAACAATCAGTGCTCTGTTGCAAGGACAGCTCATATGCTCTGCCTCTCTCCTGTCCTTCGTCTTCAATTTCTTCATCCCAAGCAGAATCACGTCTGTAATTTTTGTTTTGAGGCTTTTGCTCCTTTTCTGGGCGAGTTGCACAAAGATTGTTTTGGGTTTAAAATAAAAAATATTAGGTCACCTATATATTTGTTGGGTTTTTTTCCCTTGTTGAGCTTAACTAGTCAAGAATAGGAGCACACAGTACCTTGTTCACAGAGCAATGTGGACAGCATGTCTAACCTGGAAAGCTAATTGGAAAAGCACGCTACAACTGTAAAGAGGCAAGGAGTACGACACAGAGGAAAGGAGGGACGCAGAGCAAAGCTTGCCAGCAAGTTCACGCTAACCTAGACTCAGGTTTTTGAGTATCACCTAAATTTCAAAATTGGTTAGAAACTGTTGGCACTTCAGATTTCAGACAGAACACAGAAGCAACTTGGGACCCTGCTGTGGTGGGGATTAGGAGGTGAAGGGGTCCCAGCCATCTCTGGTTCTCCCACCCCAAACCATATTGGATCATGAATGCCAAGGGTCCCTTAACAAGAGAGCAGGCATGTGGCTCTACTCATCCCCCATCTCATCAGAGTCAGGACTGCATCCAGCCTTGGCACCAAAACTCAAAATTTCCTTGCTGTTTTGGAAAATTTAAACCAAGAGAGATGAGATGGCCCTAAGTGACCGAAGTGGTGAGCACTCTCAAAAGGGCTGGATTTGCAAGACCAATGGATCCCTAATAACCTTTAGAGGTTTGGTCCCTTGATGAAATGGTAAGTCCTGTAAGATTATTTTGATCCTTTATGAATTTCATGTAAGTGGTTTTTCTAAGTTTTTTAATTCTCTCATGCTATGGAATAAACCGAGTCAGAAACCATTTTGATTCATGGAGACTTTTGTACAGGATTGCATTTTGGAATTTGGTATTTTTATGACAATGGCTGGATAATACATGAGTGTGCACAAGCATGTATGCAACTGAAAGACATCCTCCATGCAGATCTTTCCATTAAAAGCCTACTTCTTCAGGTTTGTGAATAGTTTTAAGACATTAAGGAAAGCATAAAAATCCAGACTTACAATATTTTGCTACTTCTTACTTTAGAAAGGTGGTTGCGGTCATTTGCTTTTCCTGCTTACACCTAGATGAATAAGGGCTGCTTGTCTTTGTTGGTCTTTTCAGACCATGGCATAAGATGGACCTGCAAGTAGGACTAAAACGTCCATCACATACAATGGAAAAATCCCTACAGTTTCCATCCAGGACAATTATTTGGGAAAAATATACTGAGAATTCACTGTCTATCATAGTGCAAATATTTATAAGAAGGAAAATTTTCCCTTACTCCCTTCCATTTATTTGTAAATGATTTTAAATAAATTTTCTCTCTTTTTTTTTTTTTTTTTTTTTTTTTATAAGTCTCCAATGGCCAGTGTTAGGTTAATGGTTGGAGTAGATGATCTTCAAGGTCTTTTCCAACATAGATGATTCTGTGATTTGGTAATCCATGTCTAAAATATTCCTTTCATCAATCCTGGGGCTGTCATCTTGGTTTTATTTTGGTCTGATGGTGTTTTCATCAGTCAGAAACTGCTTGATATGAAACTGATCAAAATTAGCTCCAGGGCATTCTAGTAACAGCAACATCCAAAAATTCATTTCTTGTTCATTATCAGAGCTTTAGAGAACAGGATTACCCAAATTGCTCAAATGGGCAGTGTTTTCCTCTTCATGGATTTCCACCTCCATTACATCTCAGGACTGCCACCAGCTCTTCACTCCATCAGTCATTAATGCCATGAATATGGTCATGGTCATGAGCAGCAAGTGACTCACAGACAGTTTTGAACAGAGTTCCTTGAACTATGAAATCTGGCCAAACACTATGAGAAAAGGTAAGGGACATCATGGTGCTCTTGGGCAGTGTTGTTAGTTCTAAAGTTGCATCTCAACTACATCCTTAAACTGAACAGTGGAGGGGGCACCTGAGTCAATGGCCAACCGCATAAGCTGCAGTGTAGTAGTGGTCATGAGAGCTCCTCATGTCGGCATCTGAATACACCAACTTGTCTTTAATATATGCTCTGCAGAAAACAAGTAGAGGTGAATATTTGACTTCTAAGCAAGGAAACTTGTCTTAGTGGCACCAAGCTTTGATCATTTTGACAGCTGAGGTCTGGACTACAAAAGAATATAGATTTAAAGTGGTCAGGATATGTATGTACCTAGGCATACAGCATGTTTTGAAACATATATATCCATACACATTTATTTGAATCTGAAAATTCACATTTTTTCAGAATGCTGTAAGTTCCACTTCGCCTTCAGTGTTTCTGCCACCAAGGTGTTCTCCAGGTTTCCCGTGGCCTTTTTTATTGGTTTGGCAGAGGTATCCCCATAAGGTAGGAGGTCAGCACTTAGAAAACTTCCCAGAGAGCTCAGGTCTGATTTAAGCTCCTACATGATTCAGGCTGAGCTTTTACACACAGCTGCACACAGACTTGAGTTCTTCCATGTGTCCCTGAAAAGGGTAAGAAAAAGAATTGAAGCTACTCTTTATAGCCAGACTGTTAAATTTTCTCTCTTGGAATTTATTTTCCCAGCCCTTACTCCAAACTATCCCTGATATATGGGTTTTATACATGATTAACTCACAGTTGTTCCGCTGTGAGCACAAGTAGAGGAAGTGGGATGCAGACAGCAAGTTTGAATCTGCCTGTTCATGACTATGTAGGCGTGCTGCAAGGTGCCCATGGCAGTGCTGGGCCCTTGCATTTTACCTCTGGTTCTTTTCCTTGGATTATCTAAGCAAAATTAGGGATGGCCAGGAAAGAGGAGATCAAAAGCATGAATTGCAGCCAAATCAAGGCTTCTGGTCATGTCACACGTTTCTCTTTGACCTCAATACAAGGCAAAATGGAGGTGAAGTATCTCTAGCATATCCAGCAATACTTCAGGAAACCCCTTGGCTGCTGCTATGAGATACAACATGAAATTCAGAACCCTGCAGGGCCAGCGATTAACATTGCTGAGGTCTGTAAGAAAAAGCAAGATCTTTTGTTCTGTCTCAGAGAGAGCTGGATACTTAGCGTGAGTACTTTACTCCACCCAACAGAGTTAATAACTGCCTCCCAGCACTACAAGAGAGGTAAGTGCTGTGGAGGAAGCCTGAGAACTCAAAAGGCAAGGCCACTCATTTCTCACCTACCACCGTATTTCTCTGTCCAACTTTGACATCCTCCTGACCCAGTTACCGTAGTATTTGAGCTATTCATGCTCTTCAATGTGTTGGACTTCAAAAAAAACCTGAAGCTAAAAAAGTTCTTGGGTGGGTGACTGATGTTGACAGAAAAAAAAAAAAAAAAATTGCTTTTGCCTGTAGTCATACCGCAGTAGAACAGGGTTTCGAATCAGGTCTCACAAGCAGTACTGATTTTTCTATTTGCCAACTATAAGTAGACATAAAAATAACAACAATAATGAAAATTTCAGTCAGTGTGCTGTTATATTACATCCAGTAAAAAACTGAATACAATACCTGGTAATTTTTACAAAGTCATAGACATGATACCCTATGACCTTTTATCTACAGTGACTGTTTTCATGTATGTGACTCAGAACACATATCCAGGTTGTGAGAGATCAAACTCCATCTTCCAATGGGGCTCATTCTTGGCTCTCTTATTTATCAGTCAGGAATATGTCCTGCCCTCTAAGTATTAGGTCTGTCCAATGGGTACCTCTAAATTTCTCTTCTTAAAGCAGTTCTGTTTTCAATGAAATATTTATTCAGTGAGTGAAAGAATTAGAAAGAGTAGCTGATTTGAAGAAAAAAATATTTATTCTGAAAATAATGCTGACCATCCTTAAAGAACTAGTCTGCAGCTGAGAGTGTAGCCAGTACCAGTTTTGGAAGTTTGAGCATGCCCTTGTCAGCTGCATAAATTGCTTTTTACACTGGATGATTGAGTTTACGAAGTCATTGCTTGCCGTGTGTTTTCTTTGATGAAGGCATCACATTTCTCTGGGTCACTGTTATCATTAACCTAATGCATCTTTCAAAAAACAGCTTTGTGGTGCCATAAGCAGAGATGTCACAAAGTATCTGAAAAAACATTCCTAATGCCCAGTGGATAATTTTAACAAAGATGGACAAACCAGCTTGCTTTTAAATTAAAATCCCGTAGTCTTTAGCAGAATAGTAATATACCCTACAGTCAAAATACAAATACATTTAGACATAGATTCTGATACTCAGAGTCAATTGTCATCTTGTATCACTGAAGCAATGCAAACCTGTTGTATAAAATATTAGGCAACGCAGACAAAGGTATCAGAATCTGCCACTCACCTCTGGATGCATACTGAATCCTGATCCAGAGCTCCTAGACATTAAGGGTATTATGGCCAGAACATAATCTAGGATTAACAAGAAATAATCTTGCTTTCAAATTGAGTTATTCAAAAAATTCTTCATCCATCATATACTTAGAAATTTATATTTTTTTTAATTAAAAAGTAGATCAACGCAAGGCCCTAATATGCAGAGGTGGATTCTCTCCCAGATTTAAAAATGCATATGTTATATTTCAGGAATGTTCGTTTCAATTATGTGAAAGCTCAAAGGATCAGACCTTAGCATTTCTTGCCAATAAAACATGAAAAATCCAAAGATTCACTTTTTATTCTACAGGGATATCTTAACACCACTCTAGTTATATTAATTCACACTACCATGCAAAGTGTTATAAAGTGAGACCCAGTGGCGCAGAATAATCAAAAAGAATTTAATTATTCAGGCACTTCTTGAAGAAGTGTTCAGTAGTCAGCAAAGAGAAATCAGGTTCCTCCAGCAGATTCTTCAGTCTCAGATCTTGCACCTTGTAGAGGTGCAAGCAGTACCTCCATCAGATCCACTGCTGACACAGTACGTCACATACAGTGACTTTTCACAGAATAGTATAGGTTGGAAAAGACCTTGAAGATCATCCAGTCCAAACATTAACCAGACACCGACAGTTCCCAACTACACCAGATCCCTCAGCGCGATGTCAACCCGACTCTTGAACACCTCCAGGGATGGGGACTCCACCACCTCCCTGGGCAGCCCATTCCAACGCCCAACAACCCCTTCTGGAAAGAAATGCTTCCTGATATCCAGTCTAAACCTTCCCTGGTGCAACTTGAGGCCATTCCCTCTTGTCCTATCTCTTGTTACTTGGTTAAAGAGACCCATCCCCAGCTCTCTGCACCCTCCTGTCAGGGAGCTGTAGAGGGCGATGAGGTCTCCCCTCAGCCTCCTCTTCTCCAGACTAAACCCCCCCAATTCCCTCAGCCGCTCCCCGTACGACCTGTGCTCCAGACCCTGCACCAGCTCCGTTCCCTTCTCTGGACACGCTCGAGTCATTCAATGTCCTTTTTGTAGTGAGGGGCCCAAAACTGAACACAGGAATCGAGGGGCAGCCTCACCAGTGCTGAGTACAGGGCTCAGATCCCTTCCCTGTCCCTGCTGGCCACGCCAGTGCTGACACAAGCCAGGATGCCATTGGCCTTCTTGGCCACCTGGGCACACTGCTGGCTCCTGTCCAGCCGGCTGTCAATCACCCCCCAGGTCCCTCTCTGACTGGCAGCTCTCCAGCCACTCCTCCCCAAGCCTGTAGCACTGCTGGGGGTTGCTGTGGCCCAAGGGCAGCCCCCGGCATTTGCCCTTATTGAAACTCCCCCAGTTGGGCTCAGCCCATGGCTCCAGCCTGTCCAGGTCTCTCTGCAGAGCCTCCCCACCCTCAAGCATATCAGCATTCCTGCCCTACTTGGTGTCATCTGCAAACTGACTGAGGGTGCACTCGATTCCCCCGCCTAGATCATCAGTAAAGATGTTAAACAGGAGTGGCCCCAACACCCAGCCCTGGGGGACACCACTCGTGACCGGCCGCCAACTGGATTTATCTCCATTCACCACAGCTCTCTGGGCCCGGACATCCAGACAGTTTTTTACCCAGCAAAGCGTGTGCCCATCCAAGCCTCGAGCAGCCAGTTTCACCAGGACAATGCTGTGGGAAATGGTGTCAAAGGCCTTGCTAAAGTCAAGGTAAACAACATCCACAGCCTTTCCCTCATCCAATAAGCAGGTCACCCTGTCGTAGAAGGAGATTTTAATTGGGCATCTTGGTTAAATTAGTTGAGATGATCCAAATCAACATAAATTCTAATCCTGTGTGTTGTGATTTATTGCCACCCTGAAGTCAGTTGATTTTCCCCTCTCTTTCTCTTTCAGCATCTGCTAGCATGTATGTACCAACTGTCTGCAATGGAAGGGAAGTTCTGGACTCCACCACTTCATCTCTGTGATTGTGAATTGCAGTTCAGTTCTTGAGTTTTTAGACTGTTAGGTAAAATTTTGCACATGTTGTGCACTCCGGAAAACACCAGAAAGCAAAAGAAATCACAACAAAATTAGTACCTTTTTTAGAAACAGTGTAATAAATTATTTTTGAGGATTGTACAGTATATAGTGATGTTCTGGAACTTTTTAGACTGATTTTAGCCCTTCTGTTGTTAATGGTCATAAGGGACATGTAAATAACCATGGTTCACAATGTGCATAGTCCTGAAGTAAGGGAGTGATTTGTTGCAAGCAGAGTTGCAATGTTAGGTGACTTCTTTCCTACAAAATTTTTTTGTAGCTCCTTGTTGTAATTAACTTAGACTGCATTTCTATGTTGTATATTACAGTTACCTTACATGTAACAGCTTGGTTTTCTCAGCACAAAACAACAGTATTAATGTAAAGGCACCAATAATAAAAAGATAAAAGTTTTTCAGCATGGTTTCATTTTTGTTTCTTCCTCCCTCAAGGTCATTACATTTCTCTAGTCAGCAGGATAAGTTAAAAAAAGATAAAAAATCTGCAGTACTAGTATGTACAAACACATATCTCTGTATGGGTCTGTGCCTGCGTTACAAAATCCATATCACATAATAAGTTCTTACAATGAATGCTTTGCCAGGGTCAAGTATAAATTCCCTCTACTTTTTAAAAAAAAAAAAAAGCACATTATTAAGACACCTCAAATGTTCTTTTTATTAAAATGTAGGGTAATTTTCAAAAGTGAAAATGTCTAATTGCATCTCAATGAGATAATAGAAAAAAGTTTTGATCACTGGTTCACTCATTTGGCATGATTTAATGCTGTCATGCACACAATATATTGGTAGCATATAAAAACCAAAGAGATTTTAGATTAGGTTGGCAAAGAGATGGAATAAAATCTGTCAGAAAATTAACTAAAACTGTCTTATACCTCCAGCCAAAACAAAGCTGGTTCAGTTTACCTGCATCAACAGCGCTGTGAAAGGTAATTGGAGCACCACAGAAATGGAGACAAAAAAAAGCCAAAAAAAAAGAGAAATCCAGGAGACATTTACACGTCCCTGGGGTGACCTTTGCATTCAAATCAAACGATTCAGAACACACATACCAGCTACTCAGACAATTGCAAAATACTTTTAAAGTCTGGCTTTTATAACTGCACTCTTAAAGCCGCCCTCACTCTATTGAAACAACCCGAAATCCTCCCTTCTGCCAGGTCCAAAAAGTCATTAAGGAAACAAACACACCTTTGATTAATGTGTCTGGGCAAATTTACCTACGGGCTTGTTCCTGTTGATCTCATTTCAGCTGAGGTCAGTAGCAAAATTCTCATTGACTTCAAAGGTAACACCACTGAGGCTTGAAAGGCAGACGCTAGAGATACATACTCTTGGATGTACAAGTTCTGTGGAGCCCAGTTCTGTACTTGCAGAAGTTTTTACACATTTCTGGAAAGGTGCAAGTCCTTAGGGCTGAACTGACGGGGGAAGTAGCTGTTATTTTGAATACAAAAACTAAAGATGCAGGTTCTTAAAATTCCTACTCACAGAGAGATGAGTAATTTTTCTGGACAGCGACATGTCCACGAGCAAAGACCTCTTGATGTCAGCACTTCTGTAACTGGCTCCACAGGCAGCCATTTAAGCCTCTGCATCACGGAGCTGTCTCGCACAGAAATTCCTGTGACTTTCCCCAAAGCAGGCATTGCTCAGCCTTCATTATGTGCAGAGCTCTGCATTCAGCTTCTTTCTTTCTACAAGCTCTGTACCACCTACTGTTTCAGGCTTGGTTCTGACCTTGATGCACAACAAAGGAGCCATGTTTTGACGGGTTGAGAATCTTACTTTATAAATGAAGACAGCTTCAAGCATCTCAAGTTGGGCAGCTACATTCATGTGACTTTTGGATGCTCTCGTGTGGATTAAGAGGCTATTCACAATATGGCAAAATGTCAGAATATCTAACTATATTGCTTATGTCCCTGCATCTACATTATCTTTAAGCAGCTCTTAAAAAATGTCTAAGCCAATGAGAATTTCTTCTCCATTTCTATGGAAAGCAACAATCAGGGTCAAATCCACCTCACCTAACATTCATAGTCTACGGTATAAATAGCTACATATAAGATTGTCAACCCCTTCTCCCTTTGTACTCAGTGGAGGGAAGTAGGCACAATTCCCCTGGCTTATCTCAGACTGTTAATTTAGGCTAAAATGAATCTCTCCAAATAAAGGCTAGCACAGCTTGCTCAGATCACAAAGTCTGCACTGAAAATAAAGGCATTGTGTCAGATGAATTCCAACCCTAAATCTAAATTGGCATCACTGAAGCTAATTTATAGCAGGTGAGGATCTTACTATCCCAGAGTTTTCATTCATTTCAATAGCACTATTGAGAAAATGACCCAACATCTGTGTCTGAACACACTTTGAATACTTAGGTGGCTTGAAAGCCACTTGCATGTCGGTTTTTCACACAAAAAAAACCCACCAGCACATGGAGCTATGGCATTCCAGCCCCACTGAATGTTCCCAGCATGTCTTGAAAGCTTTTCACAACTTTCTGTTGGGTGTCCAGGGATGCAGATTATCTGGTATTGACTGATGATTCAAGTAATCTAGTTTCAAAACACAGCTAAACAAAAAAGGAAAATGTCAAAGTCTGTCAGAGGCTTTGCACACCATATTGGCATTAAAATCGCTTGAGAAAAGGATTTTATTTTTCTTTTTGCTGTTGTCTCACATCATCATTTTGGTTTCTCTAATTAAAACAGTTTATACTTTTTGTTGCCATTTGTGTCAAACTTGACTTTAGAGTATAAACCTCTTCTGGTGTCTTTATTGCTCCCATCATATATAAAGATTTGAGTAATGCACCTCAAAGCACAGTGGATCCTGTCATGGTTCCTTACACGATGGAGGGAAGTCCCAAGTACCTTGGCTGTGAGCTTGAAGAGTCATCACACTGCTCTGAGCCCTGCACACTGACAACTGGGGGAAAATGACGGGGATTAGAGCAAGGCTTAACGCAGCATCTATGGTGCCTTACGGGAGACTGCAGAAAAGTTTAGTTTTTCACTCAGAGGTCGTAATTTCAAAGTATCTTAGCTCGCTGCTATAAATCAAGAGTGCAGAAAAGTTTCTGAAAAACTGCTCACTTTTTATTTATTTGCTGGCAGAAGAGTAAGACTCAAAAAGCATCACAGGTCAATCTAAATAAGATTTGGGAAGTTTTTTGTCCTTGTTCTTGCTTTATGGTGTTTTGGGTTTGTTTGGGTTTTTTTTTGTAGGAGAGGTGTTTCTTTTTTAAGTCTCGAGTGAAGTCTGAAAGCAAAACCAATATTTTGTGTGGTAAAACAAAACATTTTATTTTGTCTTCAAGTAATAATTTTTCCTGAATTAATTGAACACAACTGGTTTCAGTCATAGCCAAAGAAATTTCAAAAGGAATTGTCTTTTCAAATTGAAAAATGATCAAAACCTATTTAAAAATACCATGTTTTACCTGAACAAAACAAATCCCCAAAATCAGCAAAAAATGTCAAAAATATCCTGGCTCCACCCAGAAATCTCAGCTCTGGTTAAAGAGGTTTCCACTGCAATCTTTCAACCAATTAGTACATTGAGAGTAAGGGAGACCCAAACAAACCTTTAAGTCACCACCACACACAGTCTGATGTCCATGAAGTCATTGCCTATTCATCTATACTTGCCGTCTGCAAGATGAAAGGCAGAAGATGTTTATCCAGAGCCACCTCAAAGCTTCTCAGCAACATAAGAAAAGCTGAGTTTTGTCACTGCAAGAAGAGGCCAAGGCCAGGCTGGGTTATTTCTGCAAGACGAAGGGGATGGGTAGAAAGCAAAGGCTGGGGAGTGCCAGTCTTCTTGCTTCTCCTACATCTAAGGAAATGGCAGGGTCAGGAAGGGGTTTCTCTCTCCCTAGCAGTGCCACTTCCTACACAAACCTACCCCTCCTTTAGAGACAACAACAAGCCAGATCACAACCTCACCACTGCCTACAACCAGCTGGAAAAGAGAGAAAGTTTCCCCTAAAGAGAATGACTTTCTAGTACGTTGCCATTTTGAACATGGAAGGAGACAAGGACAGGAATGGGCTGCATGTAACACCAAAACTCTCAGAAGTCACTCTTTGCATGTCTTTTATTCAAGCAAACACACATCCATACAACCTCACTTTGGCTTTCAGGTGCTGTTAGAGCAGCCTCACAGCACATGGGACCTTAGAGTTTTCTTCCTGATGAGGTCCACCTCTATATATACAGAGAAATAACCAAAACACAGTAGCAGTTTATGGTCAACGCAATTCTTATGTCTCCCTCGTTCTTGCTGCATTCAGGGTGGACACATCCAACCACGTGACTGGGGTGTCACCATACACTGTGACACACTCTGTATATTTTAGGATGAGCCTGACCTCTTATTATTTCTGCTCATATCTCTTTATGTGCTTGCCAAAGAAACACAGTTCACAAGCACTCAAAAGCAGCCAGAAATAAAAACAAGGGGATCCAGTGATAGAAGTATGCAAGGGGAAAGACTAAGAGAGAACACCACCAAAGATAAGCAGAATTTCCTAAGATTTCCCCTGAGGTTATCATTCTGTTACATTGCCTAGGTAGATATTTAGGGCCTCCATGCTTCATGATCTGGAGCAACCAGCAGCATTCCTTGCTTAGGAAGAAATGCCATCCCTATTGGTGTGTCAGCACCACTTGTAGCTGCTTTTACTCTTACACTGAAGAATTTGTGTTGGCCACTGCTGGAGATGAGTCAACAACCACTGGCTTCTAAATGACAACATCTGCTGCTATCTTGTCTGATTATAATCAAGTATCTTGATTTTATGGGTACTACTGGCTCTGGTAGGACTGACAAGACAAAAACTGCAAACTTTCCCCTTTACTAATGAAGAGTCCCAGAATCTCTTTTTCAAGAGCAAATAGTTAAATCCTTCCTTTGAACAAAGATGACAGCTCCTTGAAGCTACCCAGTAACTTCCCATGGTGGGTCTAAGACACTTCATTTTCAAAACCTAGACTCTTAATCAATCACATTATGCATTACAAACATCAACCAGGATAATCAGAGCCAAGATAGAATACATTCTTTGCACATTTCCCCACTAGCAAGCACTCTCAAAAGCTGAGACAATAACATTGTGCTAATTTGCCAATAATTTATACAGACAACACTAAAATGTGCTTAATCCTCAAAGAGATTCGGTTGCTTGACTCCAGATTTCAAAGAAAAGCATGCAAATGCAGCAATAAAATGCATTCCATTTAATCGAGTGAACACATAACAGACTGATTCACATTGGTTTATGGCATCAAATAAGTTTCTGATCTGCTTCCTTGTGGGAGAAAAGGGAGAGGCTGTTGTAAGTAAATTTTGGCAGAGTACTAGAAGAGGTCACAGACAACTGATTTCTTAA